TGACATTATTGCGTCCGTGTTAGTGACATTATTGGGTTCTTGTTAGTGACATTATTCGGTCCTTGTCTGTGACATTATTCGGTCCTTGTTTGTGATATTATTCAGTCCTTGTTAGTGACATTATTTGGTCCTTGTTAGTGACATTATTCGGTCCTTGTTAGTGACATTATTCGGTCCTTGTTAGTAACATTTTTGGGTTCTTGTTAGTGACATTATTGGGTTCTTCTTGTTAGTGACATTATTCGGTCTTTGTTAGCGACATTATTCAGTCCTTGTTAGTGACATTATATCGTGATTAATTTTCCTCTAATCGCTGTTCATATATTTTAATTTAAACTAAAAGTATAATTTTAACAGTTTGCGTCCTATAAATTTTATATTTAGTAATTTCTTAATTAGTCTTTTATTAAGGATAACAATATTTATCAACAATTGGTGGGTCAATTAAATTACCTTTTATTTTTCTGTAAGATTCTCGGGGGGGGGGGGGAGATTCTCGGGGGGGGGGGGAATATTAACAGTGATTAGAAGAAAATTAATCACGATATGATGTCACTAACAAGGACCTAATAATGTCACTGACAAGGACCAAATAATGTCACTGACAAGGACCTAATAATGTCACTGACAAGGACCAAATAATGTCACTGACAAGGACCTAATAATGTCACTGACAAGGACCAAATAATGTCACTGACAAGGACCAAATAATGTCACTGACAAGGACCAAATAATGTCACTGACAAGGGCCGAATAATGTCACTGACAAGGACCAAATAATGTCACTGACAAGGGCCGAATAATGTTACTGACAAGGACCAAATAATGTCACTGACAAGGACCAAATAATGTCACTGACAAGGGCCGAATAATGTCACTGACAAGGACCAAATAATGTCACTGACAAGGACCAAATAATGTCACTGACAAGGGCCGAATAATGTCACTGACAAGGGCCGAATAATGTTACTAACAAGGACCAAATAATGTCACTGACAAGGACCAAATAATGTCACTGACAAGGACCGAATAATGTCACTGACAAGGACCGAATTATGTCACTAACAAGGACCAAATAATGTCACTGACAAGGGCCGAATAATGTCACTGGCAAGGACCAAATAATGTCACTGACAAGGACCAAATTATGTCACTGACAAGGACCGAATTATGTCACTGACAAGGACCGAATTATGTCACTGACAAGGACCGAATTATGTCACTAACAAGGACCAAATAATGTCACTGACAAGGACCGAATAATGTCACTGACAAAAACCGAATTATGTCACTAACGAGGACCAAATAATGTCACTGACATGGACCAAATAATGTCACTGACAAGGACCAAATAATGTCACTGACAAGAACCAAATAATGTCACTGACAAGGACCGAATGATGTCACTAACAAGGACCAAATAATGTCACTGACAAGGACCAAATAATGTCACTACAAGGACCAAATAATGTCACTGACAAGGACCGAATAATGTCACTGACAAGGACCGAATTATGTCACTAACAAGGCCCAAATAATGTCACTGACAAGGACCGAATGATGTCACTAACAAGGACCAAATAATGTCACTGACAAGGACCAAATAATGTCACTGACAAGGACCAAATAATGTCACTGACAAGGGCCGAATAATGTCATTGACAAGGACCAAATAATGTCACTAACAAGGACCGAATGATGTCACTGACAAGGACCGAATGATGTCACTGACAAGGACCGAATGATGTCACTAACAAGGACCGAATGATGTCACTGACAAGGACCGAATGATGTCACTGACAAGCACCGAATTATGTCACTAACAAGACCCAAATAATGTCACTGACAAGGACCAAATAATGTCATTGACAAGGACCGAATGATGTCACTAACAAGGACCAAATAATGTCATTGACAAGGACCGAATGCTGTCACTAATAACCAAATAATGTTACTGACAAGGACCGAGTGATGTCACTAACAAGGCCCAAATAATGTAACTGACAAGGACCGAATGACGTCACTAACAAGAACAGAATATTGTCACTAACAAGAACCAAATGATGTCACTGACAAGGACCGAATGATATCACAAACAAGGACCAACTAGTGTCACTGACAAGAACGGAATGATGTCACTAACATGGACCACATAATGTCACTGACAAGGACCGAATGATGTCACTAACAAGGCCCAAATAATGTCACTGACAAGAACCGAATGACGTCACTAACGAGGACAGAATATTGTCACTAACAAGAACCAAATGATGTCACTGACAAGGACCGAATGATATCACTAAGAAGGACCAACTAATGTCACTGACAAGGACCAAATGATGTCACTAATAACCAAATAATGTTACTGACAAGGACCGAGTGATGTCACTAACAAGGCCCAAATAATGTAACTGACAAGGACCGAATGACGTCACTAACAAGAACAGAATATTGTCACTAACAAGAACCAAATGATGTCACTGACAAGGACCGAATGATATCACAAACAAGGACCAACTAGTGTCACTGACAAGAACCGAATGATGTCACTAACATGGACCACATAATGTCACTGACAAGAACCGAATGATGTCACTAACATGGACCACATAATGTCACTGACAAGAACCGAATGACGTCACTAACGAGGACAGAATATTGTCACTAACAAGAACCAAATGATGTCACTGACAAGGACCGAATGATATCACTAACAAGGACCAACTAATGTCACTGACAAGGACCAAATGATGTCACTAACAAGGACCGAATGATGTCACTAACAAGGACCAAATAATGTCACTAACAAAGACCGATTAATGGTACTAATAAGGACTGAATAATGTCACAAAGACTGAATAATGATATTAACAAAGACCGAATAATGGCACTAACAAGGACAGAATAATGGTACTAACAAGGACCGAATAATTGTACTAATAAGGGCTGAATAAAGTCACTAACATGGACTGAATTATGTCAGTAACAAAGACCGAAGAATGGTACTAACAATGACTGAATAATGTCGCTAACAAAGACCGTATAATGTCACTAAGAAGGACTGAATAATGACATTAACAAGGACCGAATAATGACATTAACAAGGACTGAATAATGCCACTACCAAGGAGCGACGAGGTAACTATCCTCGCAAATAAATTGTTTCTCGCTAACGATTTTCAGCAAATTTCTCGATTAACGTTATTTATTCGACGATCGATTAGATTAATTTAAGTTAGAGTGACGTCTGTTGAATTTTAGTTAATCAGTAACAAGGATTGAGATAAAATTTTTAAAGCCTCGGAAAATTAAATAATCTTCAGTAATTATGAAGAGGAAGTTATCCTATGTAATCCTGTAAATACATCAGTGAGGTTCAAGATAGCCTTGAGATATATTTATGTTCAGATGCTGGTATAATTCACAGGTTGGATACAGTCAGATGCTGCTGGTACGAATAATTATCATTAATAAAACAGTAATTCACAAAAAATACAGACCAGAATTCAGATGTTTTGCGCAATTATTACAAAAATAGCTCCTACTTAAGAAACATAAATTACAGAGGCCACAGATGGTGGCCTTCTGGGTAGACAGGAGTGAAAGAGGACACGTGATATCCATAGCAAAAAGATAGAAGTATGAGAGAGAAAATTGATATTGACGATATATTATTACTATCACTAAGCAAAAGTAGTTGGTATTAAGAAACTAGTTGGTATAAACAAAACTAGTTAGTGTAAACAAAGCTAGTTTGTATAAACAAAACTAGTTGGTATAAAAACTAGTTAGTGTAAACAAAGCTAGTTTGTATAAACAAAACTAGTTGGCGTAAACAAAACTAGTTGGTGTAAACAAAACTAGTTGGCGTAAACAAAACTAGTTGGCGTAAACAAAACTAGCTGGTATACAGCTGCATACTTTAATATAAGAAATACTAAGTAAGAACAGTGAAACAAGCTGATATACATAGTGTTTGACAGCTGGAATGGAATCAGAGTAGAGGCAGTACTGTATGTGTAACAACCACTGCTAACGTACATGTGTAACAACCACTGCTAACGTACACGAGAAGACAAGTGAAACAAGGACACCATGGACATACCTCTGCTATTAAAACTATAAACAAGTGATAGCAATAAAAGATAATCTTTTCCACACCAGAGGATTTACATACGTTGAGCACTTGGAGTAAGATATAGATGATGGAATTTAATGTTTACAAAGTCACATAATGAAAATGGGTAAAAATCCAATGACCTTCATAAAAATTACATATTCTTAGCTCACAAAATCGTAATAACAAGACTGAAAACAAACTAGGGAACGGCTGGTGTTTGAACCCCATGGCGAGTGAGTCGTAAAACTCCAGGCCAGTGCGTAAGGCGAGCGGCTTACACACTGGCCTGGAGTTTTACGACTTACTCGCCATGGGGTTCAAACCCCACTCGTTCTCTGGTGTGTTTATATATTCATAAAAATGACTGAGGTGAGAAATTAAAAGCAGCGGCGAGGCGTTCTTTTTCTATACTACAACATTTATTAATAAATTTCAAGAATATGAATGACGATATGCACATTTTTATATATAGTTTGTTAGGGAGCATTTTTTGAAAACATACTCCCTATGATCCAATGACTTGGAGCTACCCATTAGTTGCATGAATTAAATCTGATTACCTTACATTCCCTGCTGCTGTTAGGACCCCTGCTAGTTTAACACATAGTTAAAGGCACCAGCATTGACCTCGTTGGAATACAGTATCTATGATGTTAATATGACATTACCTATGATGTTAATATTGCATGACTCATGATCTTAATATCACATTACCTATTCTGTTAATATCACATTAACTATTATGTTAATGTCACATTACCTATGAAGGTGACATTACCTATGAGGGTGACAGTGATACATTACCTATTGGGGTGACAGTAACACATTACCTATACTAGTGACAGTGACATTATATATGAGAGTGACAGTGACACATTACCTATGGTTGTTATGACGGTGAGAGAGTAGAGAAATCCTCCCTCTATGGACCACTTGTTGGGTAGAGTGGTGTTGCCTCCGTCCCAGCCCTCGTCCACCAGTTTTATGATGGCTCGCTGATATGTGAGCATAATGTGGGACACATTAGCCCTCCAGTTGGGCTTGTCAAGCACGTTGTACATCACTGTGATGTTCCACAGCTGCTCAATGGTCTGGTTGCGAATAACGTCGGCGGTGATGACAACGTCATTTTGGCTCTCGATGGCGGAGAAGAGGAAGGCTCCCATGATGGTGTAGCCCACCATGAGGCCGCATACGCCCACGTTGCTGAAGATAAAGGCGATGGTGGAGCGGCAGCAGTCCTTGAGCTTCTCCCCGAAGGGCTTGACGTAGTGGTAATGAGGGGCATGACTCTGGTGGGAATGCCTCGAGCCCCGCCCGCGTTCTATAGCCATTTTGAGGGAGGGAATTTGCGGGTGGACGGTAGTAAAGTTCCTTCAGCACACTGCGAACTCAGTCGCGGTGGGTAAGGGCAGCCAGCAGGCATTACTACTGAGGCCAAAGGCCACCACACTCACAAACACGCGTAGTACAACACATAATCAACTACCCGAGATGCGGGGTGCACTATCTGGGAAAGAAGAGACACAGCTCAAGGGTTCAAGAGCCTCCTTCCTCCTGCCGTCAGAAGGCGACGACGTGGAGTGAGTTCTGGCGAGAAGAACAGCAGGTGGGAGAGTTAGCCGTGTGGTAGACCCGGCCCCAAGACCATGGCAGCGCCCCAGTCTGCGTCCGACAGCGAGAAAAACATCCACAGAGGCAGGCAGAAGCGAGCAGGCAGGAATGCGAGAGGCCAGAAGAATTCCATCTTCAACTGGTGAATGAGGTTCGTGGCCTTGAGGCATGGGTGCAGACGGGAAGATGGCAGCGGAGGGATGCCACGGCAGCGGACGGTCGTCTACCCTGCAACACACAACACACATTATTGTGAGCGCTGCGGTGGGGACACAAGCACTGGTAGCCGCGGTGTGCTCAGTGTGTGTCTGCCAGGGCCACCTTGGCACCCTGCGAGGCTATTATTGTACTACGTTACAACTTTCTCCTCCAACTCACCTGTTCGAAGGATAAATCTTCAGCTGCATGATGCCAACACAACAGGTACACGAAGAGAACACAACACGTAAACAGCTTAAGATATCTTGCACACACGCACACACAAACACACACACCCACACCCACACACACCCACGCACACACACACACACACACACACACACACACACACACACACACACACACACACACACACACACACACCCACGCACACGCACACACACACACACACACACACACACACACACACACACACACACACACACACACACATACACAAGGGGACACAGTTGGAAGTTGAAGACAGATGAATCACAGGGATGTTAGGAAGTATTTCTTCAGCCACAGAGTAGTCAGTAAGTGGAATTGTTTGGGAAGCGATGTAGTGGAGGCAGGATCCATACATAGCTTTAAGCAGAGGTATGATAAAGCTCACGGTTCAGGGAGAGTGACCTAGTAGCGATCAGTGAAGAGGCGGGGCCAGGAGCTCGGACTCGACCCCCGCAACCTCAACTAGGTGAGTACAACTAGGTGAGTACACACACACACACACACACACACACACACTGACACGCACTGCGATCCATTTAACGGATCGGATATATAGAGCAAAACTTATAGAGGCAGTAATGAAAAAATTCATTATCCGAACATGTTACAGAAACCACAAAATGGCTGGCAAAGGATGAACCAGCTTCACTTAAAATGGTTTTCACCTTGTATGACTCTGATATGGGACAGATAAAATACGGCCTACCGTTAAGGTACAATGACAACACACGTTGCTTAGTTTTGAACACTTGGTGAACGTGAGAGTTGGAAAGAAGAGGGTTACGAACGAATCATAAATCATTCTAAATTAGAAGAGGTGATGAGAGAGTTTCTGAAAGGTACCCAGGAGCTCAGGAAATAAAATGGTCGGATAACCCACAAGATGATGGAGGACCTAGCCAGAAAGTGGCAGGAGGCCACCGCAAGGATTATATCTATCAAGAGAGGTGGAAAAGAGAAATACGGACAGTCCTTGGTTTAATGAGACCTGGACAGAGGCCACAAGAAGGAGCGAAAGACCCTGGAAATAGAAGAGGGCGTTAATGATAGCAGAGCAGAAGGAAAGCACAACAGAAATGGCAAAATCATAACCGTAACTACTACATAGACACACAAGAAACACTGTTACTTTCAAAGACCCAGTAATAAGGTTGAAGAAGGAAGAAGTACTCGCAAAGATGATAGAGAGGGATGCGACGAATTAAGCCAAAGATTTAATGAAGGAGGAGGAGACAAGTACAGTGCCAGGAAGCAGGAACGGAAGGGGTGACCAGCAGAAACAAGACAGAAGTCACGTACCAAAAGAGAAAGTAATGAAGCTACTGAAAGAGTTGGACATATCAGAAGTTATGAGGCCTGACAACATTATCCAGGAAAATAGTGTAAACCTATAGCTCAGATTTACAATACATTATTAGGTAAGAGAAAACTTGCTTTAGACTGGAGCACTGCAAATGTGGCTCCAGTAAACATAGACAAAAGGCACTGAATTACCACTATCATTGACATGAATAATGCTCATAGAATTAGAAGAGAGGGAATGGTTGGTTGAGCACTTTTGGAGAAGAGTTACAGAAAGCGAGGATGGAGTTAGGGCAGACTTCCACACTAACTACTGAGTTCACTGAGTTCTATGACAGAATAATGGAAATCATGTTGAAAGATAAGAATGGGTTGACTACCTTTTACTGGACTGCTGGAAAGCACATGACACTGTGCCCCAAAGAGATTTTGATTAACAGATTAGAGGAGCACTACAATTGAGCATAGAGAACCTAACAAGCTGAAGATTGAGGGTGAATTTAAGGGTAAAAGCTTCAAGACTGAGACATTTAACGAGTAGGGTTCCTTAAGGATCAGTACTAGGACCATTACTTTTCATAATATATGTAAATGATCTGCCAGAGAGGATTGAATCCTGGGTATCATTGCTTACTCTTGATGAAAAACTAAGATAAAAGCAGAAGAAAATAGACAAGACTTGGACAAACAGCAAGAGTGATGAAACACCTGGTTACCAGAGTTTAACTTAAGTATGTGGGGAGGGGGAGAGAAGACCAGATTCTCTCACTTGATAGGTAAGAAACTACAAATATTCATCAAGGAGAAGGCTTGTGCCATATCCATCACATCGCCAGAAGTACACATAAATCACATAACATTTGCAGCATATGAGACGTCTGCTAATCTCAGAACTTGCAGCCAGTCCTCTAAACCTCCGACAACATCACACTTATAAAGATTCAAATGGGTAACTGTTAAAGATCCTTAATAGTTAAATAATTACTGATTTGCTCAGAGCACACTCACTGGCTGTCCCTTTTCTGCTCGAGCAACTTTTATATACACAGCTTTTATATGGTGTGTTATATATTTTTTATTAATTTTTTAGGGATATGAACAACCTCACTTAACCTAACTTAGAACTGTGCTGCAAACCCTTCGTAAAAGAATCTACATAAACACTTGGAGGACTGCCTTCACAAACCTTAATTAACAACTATTCGTTTAAGACTTGGTACGACATATCTGATCATTTGCAAAACAGCGATAGGGGGAGTTGAATGATAGTTCTAGGTCTTTCGTGTTGCAATCAACACAGCAGGAGCTTGTAATGTTGCAGAAATTAGCAGGAAGTCCAAGCAGATTAGTTCAGGGGGACGTTTTAGCTTGAATGAGCTAGAATTATATAGAATTATATAGAAAGACTAAAAGAATTGAATCTGATGACTTTAGAAGACGACTAGGTAGGACATGATTACGACATAAAAGGTACTCAGAGAGCCTGATATAAACACAGGTATAAGAACAGCCTGATAGACAAGCGAGGCGAGGTGGTATTGCTGGAAGATAAACACTTACGATGAGACAGTGAATATGAAGTTGATAAGACACATGTGCAACAGTTACGTATCTTTATTCCAAAACTTTTTGTCTACACAGTAGGTTTCTTCGGTCGAATACAAAGGAGGCAGCAGAAGTAGTAGAGATTTAAAGACGACGTAATCAGTTCATCAACCTTGAAGATGTTGTGAACTAATTACATCTCTACTGCTTCTGCTGTCTCCTCTGTACTCGACTGTACTCCTGCTGTGTAGGCGAAACGTTTCGGAATATAGATATACTAATTGATATACTATACTTACAAGATGGAACCACGGTGGTCAAAAATATATCTACAGACTTAGTGTGGTGTATGTGTATTGAGCTTCATGAGTAAGTGGAAGAAACAAACTCGTTATACAATTTAAAGTCAGAGGTTCTTTATCTTTTTATAATGACTGACCACCAATGAATTACCCAATATGTCCCCATATCATCTTCACCGGACTGTGGAAATCATCACCACAACCACCAGTGCTATTAGGTATCAGTATGACTTCAAAAGATGTCAGTAGTTTGATTTTGCTTTGCATATGATAGCAGCAGTACAACTAAAAGGAAATTATTAGGATTTTATCATATTTATTTATAGAAAAGCGGCAAATTGTTAAGAAATGGATTCCCATATCCCCCATTATTTGGTTCCTGTTCCACCCCCCTCAAGGAAGGTTCCTTGATGTTGGTGAGGGGCTCTTGATTTAGGGAATTGGATCTGTGCTCCAGTTCCCCGAATTAAGCCTGAATGCCTTCCACATCCCCCCCCCAGGCGCTGTATAATCTTCCGGCTTTAGCGCTTCCCCCTTGATTATAATAATAATAATCCTGTTCCACCAAGGATACCCCCGTTAAAACCCCTGGCTTAAACAGTAGCTGTGATACGGCCCAAGAATAAACATTATGCCGGCGATTATGGCTTAATTAAGAGGCGGGTCCAGGTGCTGAAACTCAACCTCCACAAGCACAACTCGGTGAGTAGACACATAGACCACACAAACAATACTAGGTACATAGTGTTAATAATGAAATGCTCATAACAGAGAAAATCACAAGAAGAATAGGATATTGTTGGATTAGGTTAGGTAAGATTTATCATGAAACGGGACAAGTGTTTCCTGACGCGGATCTTAGTCATGTGATGACCTGCCTCTGGAGCTTATGGTCATCTGACCGAGGCCTTCCGCTGGCTTACCAGTCAACCCCTTTAGAAATTATGATTATAATTATTACCATTTCATCTATATATGTTACACAAGTTAATGAACAACAGGAAAATCAAAGACGTATTCCGCATAAGACGGAAATGACTTGAGTAATAACATAGTGGAAGGGCATTAATTATAAGGTTTTAAAAAATATAGACAAGGCTATTTCACGGTAGTCAGTCGAAAGAGGCGGAACCATGAACTAAAGTTCAACCTTCTTAACGTAATAATCCATCCCCTCCCCCCCACACACAAGCGCGGCCAGGAGCGTTAAATCGACCCCTGCAACAACAAATAGGTGAGCGCGCGCGCGCGCACACACACACACACACACACACACACACACACACACACACACACACACACACACACACATACACACACACACATAACACACACACACATACACACACACATACACACACACATACACACACATACACACACATACACACACATACACACACACACACCTAACCCCTCCCCAACCGTCTAACCCCCGCCCAACAACCTCCCTCCTCCAATAACCATCCTCCCCCTCCCCCATAACCATCCATCCCCTCTCTCCCCCAAACCATCTAACTCCCTCCCCCAAACCATCTAACTCCCTCCCCCAACTATCTCTGCCCCTCCAATAACCATCCTCCCCCTCCCCCACAACCATCCATCCCCTCTCCTAACCGTCTATTCCCCTCCCCCTAACCAGGATGAGGA